ATATTATAATCATGTGTTAAACCTTTTTTTTAATCTTTTTTTCTTTCTTTCTTTTTTTTTCCTTTCTTATTAACTTAATATCAAAGAAAAATCATTTTGTAAAACCAAAAAATGCAAAGCCTAGTGATGTAAGATTTTCATAAGACTCCTTTCTTCAGAATCCTCTTCCATGTATGCTATACTCTATGCTCCTACAACTTCCCATCTACAATCATCCTATATTGCAAAACCTTATGCATTCTCCTCCATCAATGATTTTTGTGACTCTTTTATGTCTTTTGTCAGTAGTTTCAACAACTTTTATGGTTTCTAGTGATTAAGTTATGGATGTAACCTTCTATTGAGATATTTGTAGAGTGGGATTCTTTTGGTACAAGGATCTGAAACTCATTAAAAAATTATGGCTAATTAAGGGTGATTAAAGGTAATTAACGAACCCATCCAGATAAATTTTATCTAAAGAAAATTTAGATTTAAAAAAAAAAACAAATCTTAATTATTTTAAGTAAGATTGAATAGCAAATCGAATTTTTTCGTTCCAGCATATCAAGTAATTAATAATTAAATAAACATAATCATGTTTATATAAATTTAAAGGTTAAGGGATTGTGAGTGAGAGAGGAAGAAAAGATTGACAGAAGGAAGGAGGCACCGAGGCATTAGCGACTCCAGGATATCAAGTGCAAAGTGGTGGCGATTGGTGTTGAGTAGGGACCACAAAATCAAACAGAAAATGAGAGGGAAGAGGAGATTGATAGAAATATAGAGAGCGGGAGATTAAAAGAAAGGAAGAAGATTGAGAGGTCATTGGCTTTGTCTATGCAAGTTTTGATCCTTGGAGAGAAAGATCAACCTAGAGACGGAGAAGTGCTTGCAACATGGACAGCAAGTAAAGGGAGTCTCAACGTTGGGTGAGAAGGTGGGGGATGCGGATTTGATCAAGAACTTTGATAGGAAACACTCGTTTACACAAGTAAACCTAACCCAAATCAAGTACCTAAGCAAAGAAACTGCTGTCCGCAGCAAGAATACAGCCCAAACAGTGGAAAACGGAGAGAAAACTCAATGGAAATTCATAGAAAAACAAAGCAAACACTTTTATTTCAATAATAGATAAAAGCACTTGCAAGATACAATCTTCCTTCAATTCGAGAGGAAGGAAGCACTCTCCAAGATCTCCGATAAAGCCAAGAGCCCAAGAACAAACCTAGATCTCCCAAGAAATTCAAAATCAAGATGAAACCTAAAACCTAGGTTAATTCCCTCTTAATACAATCTAATTCAAAACAAAAGCAAAAGGACATCTCTACCCTTCCTTCTCCCTCCAAAACAACTTAAATTTTGTTTGAATTGCTAGTGGACCCCACCCCCCAAGCCTCCTGCCTCTTCCGCCGGCTCCCTGTTCCGCTTCCGCCTGGAGAAGACCCGGACCGACTGGGCCAGTCCAGGTTGGGCCGGTCCAGGTTGGACCAACCTAACAACTTCTGAAAGCTATTATTTTTCCTCCTCATTCAAACAAGGTAAATCCAAAAAGCATTGGAGAGAGAGAGAGAGAGAGAGAGAGAGATCGAACTAGAGATGGAGAAGCGTTTGCAACATGGACAAGCAAGTAGAGAGTCTCAACTAAGGGTGTAAATGAGCCAAACCGGCTCAAAGTCGACTCGGTAATTAACTCGTGAGTCGACCTAATCAAGTCACAAGCAAGAGCTTGAGCATAAAGTCGAGCTCGAATAGTAAACGAGCTTGAGTTTGAGTTTGACATAACTCAGCTTATTGGCTTGCGAGTCAGCTCATTTTTTAAAATACAATTTAATATAATATTTTTGGTATTTAAAAAAATTTTTTAAAAAAAAACATGCTAATGTCATTTCCTACATTAAATGCATTTGTTTAGTTAAAAATAAAAAATAAAAACTTACTACTACCATTTCCTCCATTAAAATAAGTAAAAGACTAACTTTTTTTGCATTAAAGGAGCTACATGCCTAAAAAGTTTCTTAAAAAGTATTTTTTTTCTTTGAAAGAGATGAGATGCAAGGTATTCGTGCTCCATCAACGACGTCCGCCTTAAGGCCCTTGACGACTACGCATGAGCTACCACTGCATTGCCAATCATGACTAGCGTCTACCTTTGACGAACTTCGATTAATGAGTGGAGCTCGGGCATGCATTTATTTTAATAAGTCAAGATCGCGCTCAATACAAAAGCTCAAATCGAGTTCAAGCTCGATCTCAAACCGAGCCCACTGTTCATTGGATGAGTCAAGCTTGGTTCGACTCATTTACAACCCTAATCTCAAACACCAGTGAAAAGGTAAGATGATGTGGATCTAATCAAGAGCTTGTGAAAGCTATTCTTTCTTCCTCCTCACTCAAATAAGGTAAATCCTAAAATCCTACTCTTTAACTTCCTTCTTAACCTGTATAAAAATTCATGAAAATAATTAAAAGATTTCTTGTCAATTAAAAGGGGATCAAGGGACAAATCCTTCAACTGATCAAACCCCGACAAAACCTTAACCCAATAGCAGTGCCTACAAGATCATGTGCAATGCTATATGCATAGAATAATTCACATATAGGTTCAATTGGAAATGGGACTTGAAAATATTTTCAAACCCTAAATAATTTGTATATAATCTATATAAAATTATATAGTAAAAAAAATTATATAGTAAAATTAGTGAGTTAATTAAATTATGTATAGTTTAATATGCACATGCAATTTATGCTATATGGTGATTCCAAAGTTATGCTAAGAAAATTAAAATGCATTACAAGTTGAACTTGATTATATACGGCAATTTTTGACTAGAAAACATGAAGTCCAAAAGTAATCTAGAGAAGAAACCATACATCATGCTATCCATGTGTATGAATTGGTTTAAAAGGTTTATGTAATCTTACCTTAAGAATCACAAAAAAAATTAATTAAAAAGGTTGGGGTGGCAAGAGATTAAATCATATGAATACATATACCTTGAAAACTGTGTAATGTAAATAATTTAAAAGAAGTTCACAAGCATTTAAGAAAGGGGTCATCCTTAAATTAATTAAAATTGTATACAAATATGTCTGTATCTATTTATACAGATGTAAACCAAAATCTTGAAAAACTTGGTTATAAGAAAACGTATTAGGCTTGTAAGCATTAAGGTGATCCAGTTATTGCCTGAGTTGTATAATTCATATTTTGTTTGGTTTACAGGGATTGATAACGGTCGAATTGATCAAATCTTGTTTAATAAGTGATGATCAATCTTCTAAGGCTTTGATGATTGTTGGCACAAAGGCTTTAGCTCAAAATACAAGTTACTATGTGCACAATCTCATTTCTAACTAAAAGTGATATTTCTTCCCATAGACTTATTGAGAAGCATAATACTAAATTAAGTGTGGCAGAGATGAGGATGCTTAGGTGGATGAGTGGCTTTACCCTTAGAGATATGATACGAAATGAGCATATACGTGAAAAGGTTGGAGTAGCTCCAGTAGAAGATAAGATTAGAGAGAGTCGCCTTAGATGGTTTGGTCACATAAAACGGCGGCCTTTCGATGACCCGGTTAGGAGAGTGGAGGTATTAGATTTGACTTATGTTAAGAAAGGTAGGGGTAGACCTAAAAAGACTTGGTTAGAAAATATTAGGAATGACCTTTTTTTATTAGATTTAAGCGATAATTTGACTTTTAATAGGACACAATGGAGAAAAAGGATTCATGTAGCCGACCCCACGTAGTGGGATAAAGGCTTGATGTTGTTGTTGTTGTTGTTGTTGTAGACTTATTGTGTTTGGATTGAACCTATTTATTTAAGGTTCTTTCCACATAATGCTCATTACGCAAATGTTAGGCAAATTGTCTTAATCTTTAATAAAATACTTCATATAGCTATGAATCATACATGTTATGCCATATTATTTTAGAATTTTCACGAAAGTCCTTATCTTTCTATAGTTTATGTCTATGATTCTAAATGTATGCTTATTTTGACATCAAAATCCAATTTATTTGACAATACATGCCATAATTCCGTATGTTATGCTACTGATATAACTATGATTCCATGAGATATGCTCTGCTTTGATCAATATTTTAGATGTTATGTTATTGCTATGATTATAATATCTAATTCCATGCCAATTTCTCTTAAAATTAAAGTCATTGGATGAAAATGTGTATGCGAGGAAAACCTTAAGTGTGAATGTTTGCATGCTGATGTCAATAGAAAGAACTCTCTTTATGGTACAAGCTAGGGATGTTACTATACTATGCATTTATGACTCTCTACTCCAATCACGGAGAATAGCATATATATGATTTGCACTTTACTTGTGTCGATGGGGGATGTATCAATCGGTGGTTTAAAACTAACTCATTATTGATAATCGCAAATGCATAAATTTTGTCCATCTTATATTAACGAACGATGTATCAAGTAGTGATGATTTAGGTTTACAAAAAAATGCATTAATAGATACCTTAGGATGCAAAAGATATGTTACACATGCTATGGTTTATGGTGATGAAATTCAAATGCTAAGATCGTGCTATAGTTTAAGTATAAAATATCAAAGTTATGTCTAATGTCATAATCATTCCATAGTCCATGATTATGATCCCAAAGTCATAACAACTACTATGATCATTCCACAATCTATGCTTATAATGTCTATGATTCATGTTATGATCATCTTGATACTCTGATTGTGATTCTAACATTATGGCTATGCTTACAGCACTAATTAAACTGTTGTATGCACAAGTATCAATACTAAATTCAACAAAAAACATCTTGCGTTTTTGGAGAAAATCCTTATATGTTTGAATTAAAAAATGTCGTGACAGGGATCAAAATTTTCAACCATTACAAAAGTGCAGAAGGTATGAGATAGAAATATTTCATCAGACAAATCAAAAAAACACTTTGCAACAATATCCGATGTCACAGCAATTAAATCTACAATAGAACAACTTGAAATAGATGATAAATCGTAACTAACCGCTTCTTGCTTGCTGTTCTGCTTACCCTCCAGATCTTTAAGTGTTCCATCAAGCCGCTTCCTGCAATATCACCAGCAACACCATAATGAAAATCATCAAGCTTAATCGATAAATACAAAGTCAAAGAAACCAAAAAAAAAACAAATTTCAATGAGTGTACAAGAAAGACGCACAGCTCGGCCGAAATGTATTCAATCCGCTTGCGGACATTGGCCCTGGCCTCGGCCAAGTCCTGCTTCAAAAGCACTGGTCCGATTAGCTTATACACGTTAGCTCCCTCGCTCAGAATATCTAACTCCTGCGTACCATTCCAACAACTCCCATGAAGATTGATTCAACCCCCCGTGGGAAAAAAGGTGGAAAGATAGAAAGAGGAGGAGGTTCACCTTGAGTACTAGTTCATTCTCACCAAGCTGGATCGTGTACTGCTTCCGCACTTGGTGGTTCTTCGCAATATCTGCACTTGGAATTAGAGATCGAAGATTAGGGTTAGGGTTTCATGAGCAAAAACTGAAGCGAGTAAAATAGGGAGCCGTCTCTAACCTTTCTGGACCTTGCTTAGAGCACTGGCTTGAGTTTCAATATCACGTTGGAGTTCGCGAAGGGCCGGCGCCGCAGCCATGGCTGATTTGCGCTTCCTCTTTCGCTGATTCTTTCAGCCAACTTTAGCTCCTCGATTGATGAAGTCCGCTAATATTTTATAAATCTGTCACATATCATAAATCTATGATCATTAGAGGCGGAACCAATATTATTTTTTAAGTCGACAAATTCATTATATAATAAAATTAGCAATAATTATAAGCGAAATTTATATACATACCACTATATTTCTAGCCTTTTACATATCTAACACCTCAAAGTTTAATATTACTGTTATACCACCGTATACTCATACTTTACATCACTTCTACCAGTCCATTAAAGTCGGACCTCACGGCGTATATCTTCCCGCCGAATTTTCTTATGCGCGCGGAGTAAACACAACCAGCGAATACCTCTGCTTGCGAATACAGTTGCTCGGGAATACTTGCGAGTGCAGACGATCAGGAATACCTCTGCTCGCCCTTTACCTTAGCTGGCTGCTCGCGAATACCTCCGCTACTCGTGAATACCTCCGCTCGCTGGTTCTGCTCGCAAAATCTTGCCGGGGCAGCAGGTAAAATTAATCTGAATACCTCTGATGCTCTTGAATACCTCTGTTGCTCGCTTATGCAAAAAATCTGTAAGTTTTTTGTTATGAAAAATTGCAAAACTTTGGTTTAGTAGCTCGAACCGCACTTCAGGCATTTCACCGATTTTCCTCCCTCCCTCCCCATTGCAAACCGTGAAAAAAAAATCTGGATATGCACTTTCTACAAATCTATCTTTGGAGTTATAGTTGATGAAAACTGCATTTTTTAAGAGAGATGAGTGTGAATGGATCGGGCATTAAACAAGAGACCATAAATAAAACTTGAGAGCTCTGGATATGCACTTTTGTTGGATTGGTCACCGTTTTGATCAGGAGTAGAAGGAAAATGTAAGGCTTTTCTTATGTGTTTTAGGCTGAGAGATTGAAAAGCCAAAAATTTCATACTTTTACCTTGAATTGCAAAGAGGTCGAGCTTTGATCGCATAAAATGGAATGTGATCCCCTCCTTCACTTCAACAGCCGGAGGTTAGCCCTAACTCGTGAAAAAACGGAATAAGACGTGGTAAGCCTGCCTGGAGACGGAGAGTGGTATAAATGAAGGGAAATAGAAATTTGGGTGGTATAAGAATAATATTAAATTTTGAGGTGTTAGACATGTAAAAGGTTAGAAATATAGTGATATGTATGTAAATTTCCCTAATTTTATTGATCGATTGAGCCCAACTAGTAATTAATTCGAACCTAATCAATTTGTTTGAGGCCTGGCCTAGAATAGGATTTTACACGAAGCCCACTTTCCGTCTGAAGGACGGCCCATCAAATACCCTAGTTCAAATGGTAGACAATAAGACGCGTGGGGCCCATCTTTAGTCCGCGATTTCCTCGTGCATCCATGCGACCGGCCACGCGTGATCGTTTTCGTTTCGTAGCCGTAAAGCAACCCCGCCGACCCCACCCGCTCAACGGTTAGCTGGCCAGTCTCGGGCGATTTTCAAACGGGCAGCCACTCTGTTTTCGCCACGCGTCCGAAGTAACGGCTACTTCACGCGGACAAGCCGCATTCCAGCGTTACAGAACTTTCCCTTCCCTTGTTCTTCGTTCCAACGGCTCCATTTGTCCTCCTCTTTTCTTCTTAGATTTCGCTTCTCCAACTATAAATATCTCAACACCCATATCGACTACCTCATCAAACACAGCTTCTTGTTCTTGGTCTTCTTCTTCTTCGTCGTCGTCTAACTTATTTGCCGTTCTCTTTCTGCTGAACAAGCAACAACTAATTCTTTTCATTTCTGAGATGGAAGCCATGATGAAGCTTACCTTGAAGGTTCCTCTGCTTCTGCTACTTGTGGTCATCTTGGCTGTTGCCAAGGCACAGGATGGAGAGATTGCTCCATCGCCGGCGTTGGAGAATGGAGCGGCTGGTTTCGTTCCAGTTCTCTGCACATTGCTGTTTACCTCACTTGTCTCGTTCTTTGCTCTGATTTCTCAGTGAGGAGTTAGATATATCTCGTTTGGGTTTCGGATATGTTTTTAGGCTGTTGTGTTCAGGATGTTACGCTTACTATTTTATATTTTTGAGGTACAGAGAGATGAGTTCATATAGTTGTTTGGGTAGTTCTTCGAGAGTTGATGGATCTGAGATTTTCTTTCAGTGGTATTTGTTATGGTGACCTTCATTTGTTCTGATGGTTTATTTGTATGGTGACATTCATTTGTTATGGATCAATAAATCATTATTTGTCTGTGATTTTAGCTTATAATTACTGTCTACTTTTCTTTTTCTTTGTGGATTTTTTGCGTTTTGAATGGAGGCATTTTTATCAAGCCTTCATTTAGATCTGCTGGAAATTAATTATTGTTGCCTTATTTTAAGAAGTCGGGGAAGGGGTTAATCACTGGCAATATTCAGGTCGGTAGAATCTATTTGAATTTATCCAGGAAACTGGATGGTTTGAAAAAGCATGGCCTTTTTCGTAGCTTGCATCTTCTTAGAGTTTCTCTAGAATTAACCTTATTACACCCTAATTTTCAACCAAACATAAACAAAAGATCACTCAAATGACATTTTTTAAGAATTTCTTCAAGTCCTCTCTATGGTGTTCTTGATGTATCTATTAGCACCACAAGAATCTGTTATAACTGTTTCCTTGTATTTACTTTTCTGTCCTAAAGTTAGTCTATTTAATACTTGTATCTGTACCAATTTACACAAGGAAATAATATTGCATTCTCTGTTTCTTCCTCACGGTTCTCCCGCTGCTCCTGTTTCCTTCTTTCACCTTTGCTCTCAGTATCACCCTTGTCTAGGTAATGTATGAGAGTTTGAAAGGGGTTTGACAAGTATGAACAGGCCTAGATTTTTAGAGTTATCAGAATTGAATCTCACCAAAGTCGCATGCGCATATCTGTTAATCTACCCAAAATTTGCTTAAGCCCAACGAACTCAAAAATCCTCAACAACTAATTTAAGGATGCTAGCGAATAAGTTGACTAAGTTTAGTCTTGCATGCTGCATAACTAGTTATAACGAGTTTAATTTATATTATTTATATGTAATGCAAATGTTGCCAAAAATTTTGAAACATCAAATTTTCATCCTTATCTATAAATGGAGTCACTCATCGTACGCAGAACTCTACCTCATTAAAGTCTCTAGCTTTCTCTAGCTTTTTAACTCACCATTATCTTATCAAAAGTGGTTCATTCGAGTCTTCAATGGAGTAATTTATGAAGAAAATCATTGAAACTTATATTCTGAACAGTTGTAAAACACTCTTGCTTACTCCAAGGCATGAATCAACTATCGTCCAACAAAACATTAACTTAACCTACAAATGCTTTCTCAATTTAGATTGCAAGTACTAATTGCCACCAAAGTTCAAAATATTAATATATAAGATTCATACAAAGGAAGTTACACTCAAATAACCATGTCACTCACTTCGAACCAACTATCTTCATCCTCAATATTATCCATAATTTATGTAGGCCACATGTCTTGATAATCATACAATACCCATCAATAGCCAACCGACCCTTTCGATCATCCTCACTGTCATTGAAATGATTAATTGTCCAATTATCTTTACCACCTATAATGAGGCACCGTTATGTTAGTTCTCATGAATTGTTATTAAAAGCTAACATCTTTGAATTAAAGAGAGAGTTTATCATGTAATTCACAAGCGCTTAAAATCTAAAAAACTCCCTTGCTCTATTGAATATGGTAAAAGAGCCTAACAAGTATTTTAGCTGCATTAACTCATTTTTAATGGAGATGCTAAATTTCTAAGATTTGGAGCTTGAGGTTGCACAAGAAACACTTATGTGTTTTTCAAAATAAAAAAATAAAAAAATTGTTCCACATTAGGGTTAGAACAACCATAAATATTGATCGATTGTTTAAATTTTAGAATAAGCACATCAATATGGAGGATAATAATCATGTAATCTCGACTTCAATTTTTAAGCTACAACATTCTGAATTCATAAAGGACTCCTTGTAACCTCCTATAACATCACATAAACAATGTGTAAAAACAAAATAAGTAGATCGAGAGGTTGCATTATAAACTTCAACAATATAGAAGATTTCTATCCCAAAAAGTATAAAAGGGGCAATTAATTAATAGGGAGGCTCCTCAACTTCAAGTTTCCATTTTAGATAGAAATAGAAGCACAAATCAATTTTATTTTCATTACACTCTCCATCAATAAAAAGAAACAAATGAACTTATAAGTATACTTTTTTTTCTTATTTTCTGTATATAAGAAAATTTTTTAAAAACACAATGACTGAGAAAGAAAAGAAGTTGCATTCCCAGTTTGAATTGGTCCCTATAAAAGCAAAGCTTGGTATAGAAAAATGAGTTGAGAACTCAACGATTTCTGGCGCCCTCACTATAAACTCATTCCCAAACACAACTCATTAAGAAGATAACCAACATTTAATAATTTTTTCTAGATTGTTTACTACTAGATACTAAATTAGAAGCTTTGAAAAAGAACATAGAGTGCAAAAAAAGGACAAATATATTATATGGAAATAAAGTTTGAAGAATGATCCATATTTATACGTAAATAAAGTGAAAACCTCAACCTCATACTTACATCACACTTTCATATTCTAAAAAGGTCCTCATCCTAGTTACTGATTTGTGGCCAAATCTCTAACTGAGATGTCATCATTTCATACCAACTTAGGGATAAATTATTCTGTGCGAAGGCCGGACATAGAATGCCGTCCGAAGACCAATCGGAATGCGTCATGCCGTACCGAGCAGTTCTTAGCCGCACTACCAAGCGAAGCGGTGACATACTGCATTCTAATTGATCTCCGAACAACATTCGGCGTCCGCACAGAATAATTAATCCAACTTAGGAGAGCCACTTAAGACATAATTAATGACCGACTTCATTTGTATATGACATATTTTTGCCAATAAAGTAACTTCTTCCTAGAGTCCAACACATCAAAGGACAACCTTAGATTATCTCTCTTAACTAGGTATACATCAAGTAAAAAAAAAAAAAAAATTCAAATGAAAAGCTAATGAAATTCCAGCAAATCTATTAACTACTATCAACTTAAAGAAATACAAGATCCTTGTTACAATGAAGAGAAAGAACAAAATAAGGAATTATTCCTCAATGACAGAAATCCTCGCCTTTCCATATATCTAACCAAATTACACAATTCCATCCCCACAGTTTTCTCTTTTTCTTCCCCTAGCTTATGCGGTTTTACCTGTAACCTGTATGTAGGATATATATGAAAAAAGAGCAAAGACTGGCTAAAGACTGCAGAAAAAGTAAGAGAAGCCGCCTAAATGGCAAATTTTTCAACAGCAACCATTTAACTCCTGCTACATCCAGGTCACACCCTGGGGACTTGCCCGGGCACGAGCTTCGGCCAATGAGACGGCCATGGCCAGCATCATTTGTTCCTCGAAGCTGTCGGGGAGGAGATGACTTGCTGCCATGTTAACATCTTCTCGAAGGGAGATGCCCCGCGCCGTATCTATGGTGACATCAGAGCCAGCGTAGCTTGTCCCGGCCTCGGCCACCTCTGAGCTATTGTCAATGGAACACTCGCCATCGTCCCCAGGCGGAATAGACCTGCTGCTGCCTTCAGATGCGTCGAGCCAACCAACTGAAGGATGATTATTAACTGCACTCTCTTCTCTTGAAAGTGTGCTAGCACAAGCATCTAAACTTGAAGCATCTCCACCATCAATGAGCTGGCGTTCAGCTAGTGCTGCAACTGTGCAAGCAAGTCCATAAGAAGTAGAAGCATCCTTAGTGGGTGTATGAAAGTCTTGCAGGCCAGTAGATGATGGATTCCTCTGAACCCCTTGTTCCTGTTCAAGAAACAATTCACCCAGATTTTTGTTACCTTCGTGATCCCAACCCTTGCCATAAGGTACATGAAAGAACTTGACAGGATTTTACCGTGCAAGACGAACAATGTAAAATAACATTGCTTATAATAAATGCCATATTACAATTGCCAATTATCAACAGAGTGTTGGAGGAGAAATTATTCTGTGCGGAGGCCGGACGCAGAACACTTCCGAAGACCAATCAGAATGCGACGTCAGCGGTATTGAGCGAAGGGGTGACGTGGCGCATTCTGACTGGTCTCTGGACGGCATTCGACGTCCGCACAAAATAATTAATCGCATTGGAGTAAGCCGTAAACGTTCACTCACACATCATGCTAGGTAAACAGAGAAAAATTCATGGTCAATGACGATGCTTTGTAATATCACCAAATCACGAACAAGTTCCTAAATGTGAATAACGAATCATATAGTTCTTTGGATTCATATAAAACTAGTTGGTTACCAAGCAAACTTGTTTCAGGAAGTTAAGATATTGGTGTTAAGGCAGCTCAGTACTGCCAATAACTCGATGCTTAGTGTTTTTCACCCTAATTAGTATGATTAAAATTTGCAACATAGCTCATGACTAAGAAGTATGATACAAATTATCTTTTAATGCAAAGCCCAAAAAATTCTTATCACCTGAATTGACAACCATATAGCTTCCATGACCATAAGATCCTCAAGATCCATATCAAAGTGATCTTCCCTGCATTAAGCCAAGCTTTTAATTAATATCTTGAAGTAAAAAAGGCTGCTTACCATTTGCTGTCCAAATGAATGGCTGGATTCATAAGAAAAAATATTTGAATGGAATATACGCAAATAAACAGGCAACAAGGCACTAAGCGCTTTGCCAGAGCATAAGCTTAATTAGTAAAGCAAAGACAACAACATTAAAAATATTTACCAAACAATTATTTAAAATAATCAAATCCAACTAACTAAGAGGAATATGCATGTGCAAGAGACTGGGCATGCATGTATAGGGAGTGTGTTCCCTGGGTTTCCACCTAAATGTTGGATTAACGCATCTAAGCCTGCTAAACACCTCTCAGTAAAATTCAATAAAAACTTCTTCAGTTTTATTCATGTATGAGATAGGAGGTAAGGATTTGGTTCAAGTGAAGTGTACTAAGGATGAAGATCAAAAAGTACTTTTCTTAGAAGATAATATTCAACAAAGGTGGATGAGATATTTTGCTAAACTTTTAATGAAGAATATGAAAATATGATTGACTATAGTGACTTTATCACCCTAAATGAAAATAAAGATTTTTTGTTATCGGCATATAAGTAAAACCGAAGTTAGAGAGGCTTTGAAGAAAATGAAGTAGGGAAAAGCTGTTGGACCTGATGATATTCCAAAAGAGATGTGGAAATGCTTAGGAGATGAAGGAATTTTTTGTCTTATTAAACATTTTTAATATTGTTTTGAAGACTAAAAAGATGCTAAATCAGTGAGAAATGAGTGTGTTAATTCCTATTTTTAAAAATAAAGATTGATATATCATCAAAAAATTATCTTGATCGGGCATGAATCTCGAGGCAAAATCAGGCTGGAAGCTTCAAAAATTAAATTTGGAATCATTTGAACTCCAATTTCAGCAAACTTACAGTCAAACTGAGTGTCTCGGAAATATGAACCCAATGACACAAAATCAACTCAATCCGAGCCCATATGTGTCTGAATCGAAGACCTGAAGCACTGTTGGAAGGTTCGAACCACAATTTGGATTATCAAACGGTTTCCAAACATGATATGCTTATAGTCGAATCAAGCGGCTCAATGAGAAGAATCCAACGAGTCCAAGATCGTCAAATTTCGATATCATTAAGACCTTCAAATGTCTGACGAATGGTCCACGATCAAGGGATTCAATATCAGCCGTCCATCCAAACCACTCCTCATTTGTCCTTGATCCTCCTATTTACGGGTCATGTCATCCTCAAAAAACTATAAATAACCCCTCATTTCTCTTAAGAGGGAACCCCAAGAAAGAGGGAAGAAGAGGAGTAGAGAAGAAAATGAGGGAAGAAACTCCTCCTCGACCACCGCCAGAGTTCCGCCCGACTTTCAAGTGACGCCGGAGTTCCGCCCAACTTTCAAGTGATGCTGAAACTCCACCCGATCTCCAAGTGACGCCGAAACTCTGCCCAATCTATAAGTGACGCCGGAATTCTGTCTGATCTCCAAGTAACTCTGGAGTTTTGCCTGAATGCCATCTAACGCCGGAGTTCTCCCAGGCTACCTTCTAACCGACGCCGGACATCCGCTCGTCGCCAGATTTCTACCTGACGTCAGACTTCTGCCCGTTGTCGGACTTTCGCCGGACATCTATCTGATGTCATCATTCCATTGTTCCATCATTTTGGGTATACCAGTGAATCCAATATGCCAACATTTGCAGGCTTCAAGACATAATATCCAAGGAACCTAATTAGCAACCATGAGTTGTTTCTTATCAATTTTCAAAAGCAAATTGTAGTGGAAATATATATATGCCGAAGACATGCTTTTAAGATTATCATCAACTCATTCCTAATGGAGGTTAGTCATACCAATTTTCACCAAATAGTTCAAAGACATAAAGCTTGACACTTGCAATTAAGAGGCATGACATGACTATCAATTATTCACGAGTTTTAAATTGACTCGAAGAAGCATGTCACAGAAAAACTTGAGATTTATAATTTTGGCAGTTTTAATTGACTGATTTGATTTTAATTGGTGGATTTGTTAATACGTGAGTCAACTCGAGTTTTATTTAAATTATAGTTTACATCCATTAAATAGCCCGTATGTGGGACTTACCAACAACCTCAAAGACAAGAAAAACCTAATAATAGGTCTTACGGCCTTATAAGAAAAGTGGTTTTATTAAATTAGATTCTTAACTTGTGACTAAAATTTGAAATTATCTCGATTGAAACTTTAGTGGCTTACTACTCAATTTGCGGGTACCCGCAATGGTCAAATAAATCTTTAGCTTTCAAGATGCCCAAATATGAGACCTGTAAATTAGAATATCACAATAGTAGTTCTCAAATCCATGCACTACCGGCCAGGCAGCTTGACTAATAGAATTTAAAAATAATATTATGAAGTGCATGCTTTCATGTGCATAATGTCATAATGAGTTGATTGGCCAAGATACTTAAATCGGCCAAGAGTCAATGACATCAGTCCTAGGTCCTTGACTTATTTAATTGATCAATTGGGTTCATAGTATAACATATTTAAATTGAGGCTCTAGGGCGTTGTGATGATTTGGTCATTGGAAAGACACTTTAATGGTCATTTTGAAATTATTGGCATGAATTTAAGCCTTTAGAAATTTCAGATGTTTTAGCATGTATTCCAAATTGAATTTAAGCACTTGGCAATAACAAATCATGCAACGACGTTAACACAAAGATTAAATTAAATAAAAAAAATGTTAGAAGCCAAACCTTAGACAACATAAGCTTGATGAAAATGACCAAATATGATCATTTTAACATGTGGTCCAAGACGAAGAATGCCATGCTTCTTTTGGTTTTTATTCCAATTACTCGTAGAATCAAGGAGACTTCCATGATAAGAAAAAAACATACTTACAAATAGCTCAAATCAGAATCCAATGATAAATTCTACTACTAACTTCTTGATGAGGACATCGACAGACGCTACCGACATGTTTATCGCCGGCGAAACCGCAGATCGACGGCCACGATTCAGCGCCTCTACTTTTGATTGAGATGACATGATGTATTTTATTATTGTCTATTTTGATTTACTGTTTCCCATTTTACCCCTGTGGGGAGTTATGTTTCTTTGTAGCCCAGAGGGCAATTTAGTCTTTTTTCACTTTTATGAGTCAAGACCTATATATAGTGGTCTCTTGTATCATTTTGAGGTTAATGAAGAATTGAATGAAATTTGTGTTTTATTTCTACTTCGTCTTGCATGAGTGCTTGAGAAGGAGGAGAGCTCACGTGGAGCAATTCGCAAGGCCCACCAATCGTTGGAAGAGTCCTCGATTCGTGGTTAGATTTTTTTGTTATCTTCTCACTCGTTTTCATATTCACCTTCCTTCCATCCTCCACAAAACAGCCCTCCCATTTCCCCTAGCCGCCGGCCATTAGACATCCACCACCGGCCACATCCCTAGCCCCGGCCGAACACCCCACCGGCCACCTCCACCATAACCGGCCACCCCATCCCACGGTTATTTGGAATTTTGAAATTTGAATTTCAAACTTCCAAAATCTTTCCTAATTTGGAACGCCAAATTTGGAAAGTTTTCATGACAAAATTCTAATTTCAATTTGATTTTAAATTGAGATCTTGAATGAGTCGCCACATCACCATCCTAAATTAGAAAATTCTCTCCCTCAAATTCCCTTCCTCTCCCAAGCATGCCGTCGGCCTCCACCTGGAGAATCCCCCATTAAATGCGACATTAATGCCTTGACCGTTTTGGACTCCTAATTTGGACTCAATAATTTTCCCTCCCAAATTATTTAAAACTGAAATTACAATCAGTTTTAATTTGGCTAACCCTAAATCCCCCTAAGCATGCCGCCGGCCACCTTTTAATGAGCCCCTTTAATGGCTCATTAAATCCCCTCTTAACTCCATCCTAATTTGAATTCTCTTTTCAAATTTTTCCCTCCAATCTTACTAAAATCTGAGAATTAACTTCAGATTTTAGTAAATTGCTTGCCACCTCACCCCACCTAACCTCTCTCACGCCTTGACCCACCTCCCCTCTCTTCCACCTTGGCCGAATCTCTCCCTCCTTGGAAATCCCGCCGGCCACTCCCCTTTTCCTTGAAGAATCCTCCACGCCAAGCATGTATGGCGGATCCGGAGTTTGAGTGGGGGCTAGTATTCAACGCCGACGGAAGTATCAACATCCTACGATCACCTTGTTTTGACGTAGGATTTGAAGACGAGACAACCGTAGAAGAGTACTTGGAGCGAGTCGTGCCAATCCTCGCAAGCATCTACGACCGAAAGTTTAAAAAGCACGCTTGGAGCCTCGACGGTCGTCTACGACTTCCATCCCAACCGGCAACTTTTCCTCCGACGAAGTTCTTCGGCGCCCTCTCCCTAGTGGTAACTTCGTTCATCTCTTGGATCTTCTATCTCCGCCAAAAGTCCACCACCTCTTGAGTGATACGCCCCAAGGTGAAATTCTCGTTGTTAAACGTTGGGTTTTGTGTTTGTACTTCGCATTTAATTCCCTTGGATTTTGAATGAACTATTTTGGCTAATCTCAAGTGCATCTCTTTGGCCTAAGCAAAGTTCACGTTTCTAATTCTTTAATCTATCTTGCATGATCCACATAAACTTATAAAAGCAAACTTTAACAATTCTCTATTTAATTTCGATCGTAACTCCTAGTAGTTTCACATCAGAAAGCCTATAAAAGCAATCCAATAATTCAAATAATTACGAAAAGCAAGGATAATAAAAAATATTTAAATGTAAGAACAAAGACAGGAAACCAACAACTTCTAATATAAGTTATTTATGCAAGCTACACAAAATAAACAAAATTATAGCACCCAGGCAACATCCCAAGGGACAAATGAGTGTACACTAGGTTTCTAGACTTCGTTGAAGAAATCTTCTTCAAGCCAACAAAAAAAAAAATATAATGCAATCCTTAAACATATACCATGATACCTTTTATATTGGTGGAGATGGACCACAGACTG